CCACACAACAGCAGCCCTGGAAAATTAAAATACATATTGCAATGCATAAATTTTTTCAGTAGATTTCGTCATACAATTTTGCAATCATACAATAAAGTATGTATGCATATGGTTTTATAAATGTATGTATGCAATGAAAATATGTATGTATGTAATGTTTCATATAATTTTGTATGTAGTATATATTATAGTATGTAATTTTACATAGTAGTATATTAATATAATTTTGTATGCAATACAAACATATGGTTTTAGTATTTTGTATATAAAACATGGAGTATACAAATATATAACATATTAGTAGGGAGCATAAAACATATGTGTAAAAAGAGATAGAAAAAAGTAGAGACAGTAAAAATATAGAAAAAAAAGGGGTAGTTTTAAAAATAGTAGATAGAAAAAAATTTTGAGTAGATAGAAAAATATAGTTGGGATGAAATGAAAATTTTTAGTAGTAGATAATTTTAAAAATATTATATACCCTTTTTATAATATATGTATGGTATGTATATATAAAATTATGTATGTATATATATATTTTGTATGTGCATATGTATACAATGCATGTATGAATGCATACAATACATGTAGTACAGAAATTTTGTATTTTTATACAAAAAATTTTGTAGTATTTATGTATATATACAAAGTTATGTATTATACAAATAATTTTGTTTTGTTTTTAAAAATGTATAATATATATATATTGTATGTATATGTATATATATGTATTTTGTATATTATATAAAATTTTATATTAAAGTATGTATATTATAAAATTTTATGTATGTAATGTATATATATATAAAAATTAAAGTAATGTAAAAATCATGTATGTATTTTAAAAAATTTTAATATGTATGTTTTGTATATATAAAGGGAGATATAATATAATATGTATTGGTAAAAATATATTTTGTAGTATTTTTAAATTTAGTATGTATATAGTTTGTTTTATATTATAATGTATAAATTTTTATACATATTGTATTTCAATTATACAAAGTATATATTACATTTATAATAGTATTATAAAAGTATGTATATTTATATAAAATATGTTAAAAGTATGATATTTATACAATGTTTTGTATAAATGTATAACATATGTATGCATATGAATGTAAAACATGTATGTATATGCATTATGTAAATATGATAATGTTACAATATGATGTATATGTTTTATAAAAGTATTTTTTAACATTTCGTATGTATATGTACATATGTAATAAATGTATGATATGAATATGTAACATATGTATTAATATATGTTAAACACATGTAAAAGATAATGTAAACAATGATGTAATGAAAATTTTAAACAATGTAAAAGTATAAAGTAATATGAAACAATGATGTTTTTAAAGATGAAAACCCTGTATGTATATTATGTATTTTTATGTATATAATATTATTATATGTATTTTGTATAAAATGTATGTATGTATAAAGTATATATATATGTATGTATATATATATGTATGTATGGAGATATATAATTATATGTATGTATATATATATAAATATATATACATCACTTATATAAAAAGTCTCAAGAGGTTCACCTTAAGATTAAACAGAGAGGGAATTAGATTATAATAAAAGAAATCTAGAAACTGGGTTGAATAAGAAGCTAGCATGTTAGCTAAAAATTTAACTGAAAAATATGATACAAGAAATTTATATGAACTGCCCCCCCACAATTACATTTATTTAAAACTTATGAATTTATGAATGGAATTTTAAACCCATCAAAAACCATGGCTATTTAACAAAAATAATTTACAAGAAATATCCTCATTTTGAACATTCCAATATTAATAAATGCTATTTACACATCCACATGTATTTCTAATTGATTCAATCATTCTGAGATAAAATAAAAGAATGATTGAAATATTAGATATGACATGTTTCACAAATCAATCCCAGAAAAAACCTTTGATGAAGGTGTAGACATTATCTACAAATTGCATTCTTAGTAACAAATTAATCTGAAAATGCATTCACTTATGATAAATAACTAATTTTTTTAAAAAAAGATCTGGCATGCAAAGATTCATTTTGACAGATCAGCATCTTCACATTCCAGTCCAAAAGATTTTTTCCCTCTAAACATTAGTTGCTTGGCAAAGTATTTGATATTTAAAACACTATATGAAATGTGACAAAAGGATAAAGAAAGTCTGAAACTGGTTGTTTGAAAAATCAGATTTTATACATAATAGAAATAAACTTGAAGATCAATCACTCGGATATTATACAGCAGACCATTTCAAATGAAATTTCATGTATAGAAAGGACAACAAGAATGTTGTTGCATTCATGAAATAAAGTAAACAGTGTTCATATTTCATGGTAAATCAAATACAATTATCATTAGAATTTTTTTAGATATTAACTAATCAGATGTTGAAGAGAGAGAGAGGAAACAACAATAGCAATCATCTGAGAGAACCTTTTTTTCCAGCGTCTATCAGCATAAATATCAAATCACCTGTGTTACTTGTGTTGTTGTGAATAGATTGGTCTGATCAGTATACTTCTACAATCTCTTTTTGGTTTACAATTCAAATCTAAGTTCCAGGTATTCATAATAAAACAATTTGATTGAAATAATTGTATGCTCAATGATCAGTTTAATTATTAGATTTAATATCGAAAATTAAGACAAACCACATGCGATCCAAAAATAATTTTAAAGCCTGATACTAGTAACTACCTTAGTAGTTTTAATAACGAAACATACAAATATAGCACCACTTTATCTACTCTATGTATGCAAAGTCAAACAAAGGATAATAAAGACCCATTTTGAAATGGGGAATATTAAAAAAATGTCATGTATAAAAGCAGGTGATAAATTTTGTTCAATGCGTACAAAGGAAAAGAAGTTATTGCTATATGTTAAAAAAAACAATAATTTATTAAATCTAAAATCTGAAATCCTGAGTAGGTGTAGACATAGGAAACGCTGGTTATTAAAATAGATTTTTTTTTTTTTTCCGTTATTGAATAAAAACATACCCCCCTTTAGTAACGTGGTCATGGTTGTTCTTATATTGTTCCACCCTTACCTCATTGGCCAGTTCACCCTGACGATCTGTATAGGTGAAACCTAGGTAGGTTTACCTGGCTCTTTAGGTTCATATTTAGGTTTGCTCTACTTAGCGTATTGAGCACTTTACGTAGTTACTTTTGCTTTACTCATTTGGAGGCTTTTTTCTTTGGACTCTGAGCTTGAATTCTGGATGATTGTTTTCACCTAAATTTCATGGTCTTAGTTCTTTCTTTTTTTTATCCCTTATTTTCCTTTGGGCATTGGTTTGTTCAATTACAAGCCAAAATACCTATATTATTATTATTATTATTATATATGCATATATATATATATATATATATTTATATATATATATATGCATATATAATAATAACTAACAATGAAACCGGCATTGCCAAGGATGTAACAGTAAGAGATAAGTCAAGTATCGACCATCATAAAGACTGAAAAATAAAATTGACAAAGATTATGAGTCTACCGATTGAATAGAATTTTATTATAAACAATTGTGTTGTAAATGGAATTTTTAAAGTATTCTAAGATAAAAAATAAAGAAAAAAAAAAGTGTGCAAGACAATAAACACTACCTGCCAAAAAAAAAGTGAAGTTTTGTTGAAATCGGGTTGAAAATACTTAGGAAATCACGATCCATATTGTAACAAGTTACTACAAACAGCAACTGTCGAAAGAAAAATGGAGAAAAAAAAGAGAAAAAGCTAAAGCGCAAGTGTAAAGGGAAAAAAAGGAAAGGATAAATGATAACGAGACCCTACACATCCACATAGACAGGTGCATGATCACACATGCACAAATGAACACAAACAATACAGAAAATACTTACACCAATGATAAGTGCATAAAAAGAAAAAATCAAAAAATATATGCAACCTGATACCTCCTGAAGAGTGGACGGAAATGCCGCCTATGAAACTCTGAAGTCAGGATGTTGAAAGTAACAGTCAGCTAATTGACAAACTTTTACTCATATTAATTATATATATATATATATATATATATATATATATATATATATATATATATATATATATATATATATATATATATGAGAGAGAGATAAAAGTTCAAATGACTTATCTTCCAATTTGAAATTTCACAGTGACTCTATTCCACTCATCAGGGTAAGATAAATCTTTTGAATTCATTAACATTTATTATTTATTTGAAATATGTTACATTTAAAAAAGAGAGATAGAGAAGCTCTAATTTAGAGTTATTGACACAGAAAGTTTAAATTCCATTTGTAGTGTTCACTTTTGTCAAAAATGCTTTAGGGAAAGATATGAATCTTTATTGTCTTCTCCTAGTTAGAGATTAAGTAAAAAATAAACTAAACTAGGCTCTTGCCTTGGGTGTTATAACTAGTCTTGGAGAAAGACAACTCTGAATTCAAATGCAGTTATGTGTGGAGCTAACAAATCCATCCCTATAAAACCTACTTGCTGCTGAAACTTGCTGTGGCCCTATTATACAAACGCATGTTCAACCAAGCAAGTATTGCTTTTTAACATATAAAATATGTCATGCTTTGTTTATGTTCATCCATATTTTTTTTGTTTTTAGTTTCATATACAAAAAAGGGATAAAAACTGCACAAATATTTTTTGCTGCATCCCCCCCTCTTATGTTTCTTTTGTTCTATCACTCCATAAAAAATTTTAATGCAATTTTAATGCCTTTTTCTAAAATATAGTGGGTAAGGGAATGACAAGATGGAAAAACTTATTGATATGTTTTATTGTTAAAATATTCATATTAGAATGACTGAAATGAATAGACTTCAATTCTGTGTGCATTCAACTTGATAAAAACTAATAAATCAAGGCATTAAATAAAAAAATTGTTTTTTTTCAAGATGTTTCTGTAATACTTTTTCTATTGCTTGTATATGAACTTTCCATTCCCACATTCTTTATAGGAAAGAGCTGATTTTGTCTGGAGATTTGAAACCTGAAGACTGTCTGAAACTTGGAGAACTTGTCCTTACTAAACACCCCAAAAGTGTTGAAACTTTTTCACACAGGTAACTTTTCTTTCTTTTCATATCAATATGAAAAATATAAAGGGTTTTAATGGCATAGCACAGCACATGTAACTCAAAGAGAAAATAACAACATAATCAAGATGTTGATATCTCACACTGCCTTATGCAAAAGGTTAGGAAGGAATTCCCCTATCAGATCTGGAAAGAGCAATAACAGAAACTGAACTTGAGAAATCTATCTTCCTGAAAAAATTGTCTTAAGAGAAATATTTTATAAATTTCAACCAGCAGTAGCACTGGATGTTTGGTCAATGAAGGCCAAATGTTTCTTTATACGAAAACATATACTACAGTTTGATCCCAGCCCAATGGCCACAGAATGAAGAAAAGCATAACTCACATAGCATTATCTGCTCTGTCAATGAATGCTGAATGTTTCTTTATAAAGAAACAGCTAATATTACCATTACCAATATTTGAGGGTAATGTTGATAAGAATTTTGATTATTATATATAGTTTTCTATTTCATGTAAGAAGAAAACTTTCTCTTTTGCTATATTCTTGTTCAAAACCAAACAGTAAATTATCTGATAAAAAAAATAATCTTAACAAAAAATGTTTTCTTAAGAAACAATCATTAAATGATCAGGTTTGAAATTTGAAGGCAATAGATTGATTGCTATGTTTGCTATTCAAAAATGCCTTCAGTGATAATACATAAAAGTATTTGTTCATATGCTTTTAAATATGTTATGTAATCTCAGTATGATTTAACTAATTTAGTTATAAATTTAACTCTTGTAAAATGAATATATTTGCAGAGTACATAAGACATGTAATGCTTCATGAATTTAGAAAAGGCAATTTTGGGATAGGATCCCTCTAAGATATGGTATTCATAGGTAGATTCTTTAAACAAAAGAATTTGCCAAAAACTGAAAGGTTTAAAAATAGTGACTTCATCTTAAGAGATGAAGCACAAACAGGTTGTCCTTCTATTGATCTGAACAATGTCCTGCTTTGGGCTGAACTCAATAGAATTTATGCTACTAATGCAAAAATTTGATCAAAAATTGAATTCAAGCTATTCAATGGTTCACTGTCATCTGCAACAAATTAGAAAATGGGTTTGCCATAATTATCAGAAGCCAATTATAAAGCAAGAGTTGACATCTACACTCTTATGAACATGTCTCACCATTTTTTAACAGCTTAATGACTAGTGATGAAAAATGAATTGCAAACAATTGTTTCATGTAAGCTGATGGACTAAAACCCAACCCAAAAATAAACCTCCATTTTAGGAACGTTTTTGGTTAGTGTTCAGTGTGTTTGTATTGGTGTAGTCCACTTTGAGTTGTTTCCAGTCAATATTCTGATTACGGAAGACATCTATTTTCAACAGTTAGAGCATTAGAATATTACTTTAAATGAAAAGAGACCCAGTTTGATCACTTACAAATGGGTGGTGTATGGTTCTATATAATAAATATCACATTTGAAAAAATTGAAGGTGTAAGTTGAAAAAAAAAATTCATCTTCTCCTTATTCTACAGATCTTACTTCATTTAGTTATCACCTAATCTTATAAGTAACCTTGAAGTACTAGTTTTTAAAACATGTTGCATAGGGGGAAACAACACTTTCCTAAAATTTTATTTTTTAACATCGTCTTTTTTTCTAAAAACTGTATATGTATTTTTGAAAGAAGTTTTTTGATAATGATGGAACTCAGGTTAATGAATGAATTTTCATTAGGCATAAATTGTTGATATTTCTTTTTTGACTCGAAATTTAGACATGTGTTTATGATGTTTATGCATATAATAATGGCCATATATAATGTTTATGCATATGATGATAATCTTATTCAGTTTGAGATTTCTATAATCTTCATTGTCCATTCAATTCACTGTCACTAAAATCTGTATAACAGTTCATTCAAATATTAATCAATCTTTTTGAGGTTGTTTAACAATTTTCAAACATTTAAATAATCTTGTTTGACTTTTGTTGGGTCTAAAATTTATGCTTATTTAATTTACAATTTCATTTCTCTCAGTTTATTTGTAAATTAGGTCATCATTCAAAGATTAAAAATTACTGTTTCTTCTTTCTGGGCACTGCAGAATCATATAATTTTGAATAACTTTTACAGTGTTGGGAAAAATGTGACTTATTGTCAATGTTCATTTTATCATTTGTTTCATTTTCATACCATTAAGTAATTCGACCTGCCATTGTTGTTTTTTCATATTCATTTTTAATTGACTTTTCTCAAAGCAAAATTTAAACACACAAAACATTTTAAAGCAATCAGAAATTTCATGTTGTCATGAATCTAAGTTTGATAGTAGATGTATTTATTTCATAACTTACAATTATATACATGTAATAACAGTAGCATGGCAGTTTATTTCTATTAAAACTCCAAAAAGCTTTTTAATCGCAATGTTCTTAACTCCTGTGCAATTGATATATCTTGAAAAATTGACATTCTAATTCATTTCTTTAAATATTTTTTCCAGGTTTTCTTTTTTCTGTTCTACAAGTTGAATATTTGAATGTCATGAAGTATATTAATGCTTTAAAAAAATTTCTATTTTTTCAAAATCATTTTAATTTGGAATTAATTTCTAATTTAAAGAAGAGCTTAGCTAACCTTCTTCATGCAGGTCTGCATCATTGCAATCCCTGTGTAAAATGGGCCACATCACAATGACAACAGTATAAATAACAATGTGCATGTTATTTGTACATTTATTTGTTTATTAGACACATTTTGTGAGAAGACTGCACAAATGTATGAGAAATTAGTTTAATATTTAATACATTTATTACTATGAATGAGATTTGTGTAACTGAGAAATATCTTTTACAAGTTTTTCCTAGTCAAAATAATCATAGAATGTTTATACAGCCTACTCTTGCAAGTTGCATAAAACCGTCAGGTGAGCTTTATGTGGCCTGTGAGTTACCTACCCATACAATTCACAAATGAAGAAAAAAATGTCCTTTTGTCAATTTATTAACAAAAAATAATGCAGAAAATAACACCTTGCAGGTGATCTTATGTGCTATCACTGATAGTAAAATTTTGGCAAACCATTTTTTTAATTTTTAATAACCATACTATAATGAGCTAATGATCTGAGGCCTTTCAATCATGGAATGAAACTTCTGATTCGCTGACAAACCTCTGTCTGAAGTCATTTTCTCTTTCTTCACCCATTACAAATCAATATTTCATAAGCTAAATTTTCAATGAACAAAAAACAGTTTTTCAATGGTAATAAACTGCAATGAATGAAAAAGCAAATGACCAACAATAAAATTTCCATTAGATATACGAAATTACTATGTAATTGTTGAATGTATTAGAAAAAGAAATGAAAGAAAACTCCTGTCGAATGTAATATTTTCATTTATTACTCAAAATACACACTTGAGATATTAGAATTTACATAAGCATCTTGTTTTTGCTCTGAAAAAAGTCTTGAATGAGAATATTTGATATAATTCAGATACATAATAGAAATTCTATTAAGAATAAGTTTAATCCATTAAAGGATAAAGGCATTAGTTTGAAAAAATATGAACATATTAATTTTGACAACATCTTGTTATCATTTTAAATTAATAACTTCCAAATCAGTGACAAAAATACAAACATCTGTAAAAAAGTTGTTTTTTTTAATGGTTTCAAATCTGTAGACACCTGATAAATTGAAGACATTTTTCTTTTCAATTGGAATGAAGTTGTGATTACATGTTTATTATATTTGTTTATATTTGATTACATATGTTGATTTCATGGTTTTGAACATTTCTGTAATAGCATAATTTAAAAATGCACATGCTAACATTTCAGTTTTGTTTTTTAACAAATAGCATTTTACATTGATTTACTCAGAGAATTTGATTTTAAAATGGGTTCTGCTTTACCTTTTCATACTTGTTTTAAGATATGCAGCATGTGTATGTATATATATATATATATATATATATATATATATATATATATATATATATATAATGAGACAAACAAACACTTAAACACGTGTATGAAAATGGTTACATTTTCATTTGGTTTACAGGACTGTAGATTTGAAGCCATGTTTTATTGACTTCAATGAAATAAAATATAACCTATGTTTTTTTTTTAAGTGTTTGTCATTATATAATAATTTTTGCTCTGTCTTTTGACATAGAGCTCTCAATGGATCTCTATCATCTTGGAAATTCAATATGGATTACCAATAATAATAATAATAATATATATATATATATATATATATTATAAATTAACTGATTTAAAATACAGTTTCTTCGCTACACAGGAATTACCATGTTTCAAAAACAAAGCTAAAAGCTTCAAATTTAATTATATAATTAAAATTAAAAGCATTAGTTCTGTTGCATCTTCAAGCGAATTTTGGAATAACTTATTTTTAAATTTACTGAGTTTTAAATGCACATACAATTCATAATTTTTCATTTCCAAGGATACAGAGAAATCCAATCATTTAGACAGGGGCAGTAGCGTGTTCATTTTTATTAACTATTATTGTATCAATTATGAGTTACGTTCAAAAAAGAGTTTAAGGTTGGGGAGGGTAGGGGTGCATTTTTCAATGAATTTTGTCATCCGTTCAATGCATGTCGTCTGTCTTTTTTTTTTTATCAACAACAAAAAGTTTTTCAGCATTTTTTTCCGTTAAATTCATACTTGTATACTTAAAGATTCTTTCTAAAAGGGGTGTTTGGGCTAGAATATTTTACATTGAACTACAACTTTAAAATATTATTTAATAATAGAATTACTTAAATTATTTAAAAATTATTATTACATATCAAATATACGTATGTATATTACCAGCTTCCTTTTTTTTTTTTTTTTTTTTTTAATGTTATTTAAGTAAAATTTTTGACAATGTCAGCAAAGAATAGCTATTTCAATTCTTTGATTCAGTAAAATTTTATTTTTTATACATTTAGTAATATATAGTTTCACATGTATGCACAAAGAACATGGGTC